CTCCCAAGTATAACAATACGACCCATGTACAGATTTTATGGTGTTTTGGAAAGTTACAAGGTCATTATAGGGCTTGCCCGATCTAGTTTGCCAGATTGGTTTGCTGGACCTTTGTTGCCTTTTGAGACCATAGTGGTAGCCCAGGAATGTGAAATAACCCCATCATGGCATAGCATTTTCAAATGTAGACAACCCAGGGTATTCAAAATGGGGTATGTCCAGTCTTTTGTAGTAACCACTTAGGCACAAACGCTGGCCAAAGTTAGCATTTTTCTTTATTTTTTGCATTTTTTTTACACAAAAATTGCACTTTTACTGGTGATTTCATGGTCGGAATACATTTTACTGATTTAGAACATTTTACTGATTTAGAACACTCAAATTTCCCAGAAAATAGATTCGAGGGATTCCCTGCTCTCGTGCGTTCGTCTATGTTTGGGAAAATTTCCCTAACATAGATTTGAGGGATTCCCTGCTCTGGTGTGTTCGTCTATGTTTGGGGAAGTTTTCCCGAACATATACATACGCACCAGAGCAGGGAATCCACATGATGGCTTGCATTAATGCCTGGTCGTAAGTGCTAGCCGTGGTAAAACAGATAGGTCGCTAAATGAGGACCACCTGTATATGTATAATATATTTATTTTATTATTTTTTTTAGCAGCCTGGGGGGCTGCCTGACAGCTCAGACAGCCCCCCTGCTGGCAGCTGCAAGAGTCCTATTGCAGTGATGTGATCATAGTGATCACATGGCCATGGTGGGCCCGGGTGGCCTGAGCTGCTGTAGGGGGACTGCTGGGGTCTCTGGCAGTCCTCCCCGACCGTGATCGACGCAGATTGTCGGTCCAGGGCTCCTATCGCGGACGTCCTTAACGACCGTTTTTTGTTGGACGTACTTAGTTTGTCCTCAGTTGTTAAGGGGAAATTATACATATATATATATATATATAATTTAATTCTAAGTGCATTTTGATTTACATTTATTTATATTTATATATCTCAAAATACAGTGAGAATAAAATGACATTCATTTTTTAATAATATACTTATTTTTACAACTATTACTGAGTGCCTCGACCACTCGAGGCACTCAGTAATGGTAAGAGCATCTGAAGCCTGCGGATGGCTTCAGATGCTCTCCCTACATTGTCAGGCGCCACGTGTGGCAAACCCAGAAGTGATCGCTCCGGGGGGGGGGGGAGGCGATAACCTGGGTCCCCGGCAGTGTAGGGGGGTATTCCACGATAACTCGATATCGAGGCATCGTGTAACACCATAAGAGTGCCTGGAAGTGATCACGATCGCTTCCAGCGCTCAAAATAGCCGCGGACGTACCAGGTACGTCCGAGGTCCTTAAGGGCCATTTTTTGTCAGACGTACCTGGTACGTCCGCGGTCGGGAAGGGGTTGAACGATCATCTGGGGTTGCTGTATCTCTCGTGCATAGGGTACTTGCAGGCATTTCGGATCTGGACTGCCCATACGGGTGGGACCAGTCTGATATGCTTCAGATATAGTCTCTCTGTAATGGCACAAGATGAGCTAAAAATCTAAGCGGGGACCCACCGAAGGGCAGGCTAATTGAGCTGTTGTCTGTTCTCATCTCTCTTGCTACTTGTTTTTCTCTACTGACATATCATGATTCCATCAATTTAACCATACCGGTCTATTCCCAAAGTAACTGATCTGTGAGACAGATCAGTTACTTTGGGAATAGACCGTTCTCATCTCTCTTGCTACTTGTTTTTCTCTCCTGAAGTATAAAGGGCAAGGACTCCTTGCTCACAGTGCCTAGAGGGATATTGGCTATACCTCACTGATGATACCTTGCAAGGTTTAACCCCTTAGTGACCAGGCCGTTTTTCCGTTGGGACCAGGGCTCTTTTTACATTTCTGTGGTGTTTGTGTTTAGCTGTAATTTTTCTTTTACTCTTTTACTGTACCCACACATATTATATACAGTTTTTCTCGCCATTCAATGGTCTTTCTAAAGATACCATTATTTTCATTATATCATATAATTTACTATAAATTTTTTTTATAAAATATGATGAAAAAATTGAAAACAAAAAAAAACTTTTTTGAACTTTGACCCCCAAAATCTGTTACGCATCTACAACTGCCAAAAAACACCCATGCTAAATAGTTTCTAAATTATACTTGAGTTTAGAAATGCCCAATGTTAGCATGTTCTTAGCTTTTTTTGGAAAGTTATAGGGCTATAAGTACAAGTAGCACTTTGTTATTTCCAAACTAATTTTTTTCAAAATTAACGCAAGTTACATTGTAACACTGATATCTGTCAGGAATCCCTGAATAACCCTTCACATGTATATATTTTTTAAAAAAAGACAACCTAAGTTATTACACCTGGGGTAGTTTATCTTTTCAAGCAGCCATTTTACCACCAATCTATGCCAAATTAAAAATAAAATAATAATAATTGGTGATTTTTTTGAGACACATAGCAATTTAAGAATATATGTACTGAGAACTTTAAGGGTTACTGCCAAAGTAAAAAACACCCCAAAATGTGTTCAGCAACATCTCCCGAGTACAATGATACCACCCATGTATAGGTGTGTCTGGTTTTCTGGGGGCTAAAATACCTTATTTGGAGGGTGCGCATTCCAGTTTTCCAACTTGGAATTTTCACAGTCATCATGCACCCATGTCCCATTTGGGAAATTTTTGAAGCCGGATAATATAATTTACCCCAATCAAACCATATATTTTTGAAAAGTGGACACCCTATGGTATTTCAAATGGTGGTATTTTAACACTTTCCATGCACTAATTCTACCACCAGCCTTTGTTAAACTTTTGGATAGTCGTCTTTTTTGTATTTTTCTCTCACATTGTACTTTAGGCATGGATCTTTAGTTCTGTTTATGTGTTACTGACAAAGAAACTATTCTTCAACGAAGTCTCCCAAGTATAACAATACGACCCATGTACAGATTTTATGGTGTTTTGGAAAGTTACAAGGTCATTATAGGGCTTGCCCGATCTAGTTTGCCAGATTGGTTTGCTGGACCTTTGTTGCCTTTTGAGACCATATGGTAGCCCAGGAATGTGAAATAACCCCATCATGGCATAGCATTTTCAAATGTAGACAACCCAGGGTATTCAAAATGGGGTATGTCCAGTCTATTGTAGTAACCACTTAGGCACAAACGCTGGCCAAAGTTAGCATTTTTCTTTATTTTTTGCATTTTTTTTACACAAAAATTGCACTTTTACTGGTGATTTCATGGTCGGAATACGTTTTACTGATTTAGAACATTTTACTGATTTAGAACACTCAAATTTCCCAGAAAATAGATTCGAGGGATTCCCTGCTCTCGTGCGTTCGTCTATGTTTGGGAAAATTTCCCTAACATAGATTTGAGGGATTCCCTGCTCTGGTGTGTTCGTCTATGTTTGGGGAAGTTTTCCCGAACATATACATACGCACCAGAGCAGGGAATCCACATGACGGCTTGCATTAATGCCTGGTCGTAAGTGCTAGACGTGGTAAAACAGATAGGTCGCTAAATGAGGACCACCTGTATATGTATAATATATTTATTTTATTATTTTTTTTAGCAGCCTGGGGGGCTGCCTGACAGCTCAGACAGCCCCCCTGCTGGCAGCTGCTAGAGTCCTATTGCAGTGATGTGATCATAGTGATCACATGGCCATGGTGGGCCCGGGTGGCCTGAGCTGCTGTAGGGGGACTGCTGGGGTCTCTGGCAGTCCTCCCCGACCGTGATCGGCGCAGATTGTCGGTCCAGGGCTCCTATCGCGGACGTCCTTAACGACCGTTTTTTGTTGGACGTACTTAGTTTGTCCTCAGTTGTTAAGAGGAAATTATACATATATATATACACATATATATATATATATATATGTATATATATATATATATATATATATATATATATAATTTAATTCTAAGTGCATTTTGATTTACATTTATTTATATTTATATATCTCAAAATACAGTGAGAATAAAATGACATTCATTTTTTAATAATATACTTATTTTTACAACTATTACTGAGTGCCTCGACCCCTCGAGGCACTCAGTAATGGTAAGAGCATCTGAAGCCTGCGGATGGCTTCAGATGCTCTCCCTACATTGTCGGGCGCCACGTGTGGCAAACCCAGAAGTGATCGCTCCGGGGGGGGGTGGGAGGCGATCACCCGGGTCCCCGGCAGTGTAGGGGGGTATTCCACGATACCTCGATATCGAGGCATCGTGTAACACCATAAGAGTGCCTGGAAGTGATCACGATCGCTTCCAGCGCTCAAAATAGCCGCGGACGTACCAGGTACGTCCGAGGTCCTTAAGGGCCATTTTTTGTAAGACGTACCTGGTACGTCCGCGGTCGGGAAGGGGTTGAACGATCATCTGGGGTTGCTGTATCTCTCGTGCATAGGGTACTTGCAGGCATTTCGGATCTGGACTGCCCATACGGGTGGGACCAGTCTGATATGCTTCAGATATAGTCTCTCTGTAATGGCACAAGATGAGCTAAAAATCTAAGCGGGGACCCACCGAAGGGCAGGCTAATTGAGCTGTTGTCTGTTCTCATCTCTCTTGCTACTTGTTTTTCTCTACTGACATATCATGATTCCATCAATTTAACCATACCGGTCTATTCCCAAAGTAACTGATCTGTGAGACAGCACAGACAAACAGTCGATACATGGCAGAATCATAGGTGCCTTGCAGAAAGCGCCACGCATGCACTTACAGACCCAATGCTCCAATACCAAGAGCATTGGATTTGATCATGGCTAGGAGGCCATGGCAACGCCGAGGGAGTCCTGGCGCTGGAGAAAATGATGAGTAACTTAATTGAATAAATGCATTTATTTTGTATGCATTCATTCACAGGCTAGGGGACCCTAAACTAAGTGTGGATATTAATACTGTATTAAGCATTACAAATGGCTGAGTTTCATATACAGAAGCAGATTTAACTTACCTAAAAGAGTTGGGACCTGCTGTGTTCACTCGATCAGGTGGTCTATGTAATCAACATCAAGATTTAGAGACTCATGCAGCTTGGACACAAGGTCTATCAGAAGCTGTCTACCGCTGTCATTCTGCATAGACTTAAAGGATGAAAGGATCTTTATGAACTGCAAATACTGATCTCCGTTGACTTTTTTTAGTACCTGAAAAGAGGATGAAGGCAGTTTAGAAATGATCTTTAAAGTGAGACTAAGAAAGTTGAACATGAGGCTAAATTACATATTTTCACCAACAGATTTGTAAACTTACCTTCTTGGATTTAGAAAGAATTAACTTTTCAACTTTTTTTGTCATTACTTCCTCTGGCAGTGTTTTCAGCTTGAGGGAAAGGAAGTTGATGGCTCTCTCTCGGACAATATCTTTTCCAGTCCGAATCTGATAAATCAACTTTCGTAATGTGCCTGAGACAACAGAACAATAAAAATAGCTTAAGGATTCTAAAAGAAAGAAAAACAATTCTGCAAGATATAGTTAAGTCTTAGACACATTTTACATTTTGAGGAATTCCATGTGACATTATATATAAAAATATATATACATACACACACACATAACATACACAAACACATCACTTTTTTGGAATTTCAATAGATATACAGATTCTTCTTACCTTTGGCATCTATTTTTAAAATGTGCAACAAAGCATTGTTTGCCAGGTCAAGTTCAGGCATGTTATCTAAAAGACAAAGAAAACACATGATGTGACGTAAGCATTGCATCATTGCAGGAATTCTCTCAGGAAAGCTATCGGCAGTTCCTGCTTAGGAACTTCTGTCTCTCTGGCCATAGTAGTCTGGGTGGTGGTCAGCGCCAAATAGACTTCAGGTAAGAAGTCAACCAAATGGTTCAAAAATTATTTCAATCCTTACAATGGCGAGCACCAGGGCACTTCTGGCACCATGACCATTACAGTGAGCTCAAGTGGTTATGGTAGCTGGAGTATTCCTTTTAGTGATAATAATGCAGGTGATTATTATATCAGCTACTTGCAAACCAACTGCAAGAATGAGACCCAATGTGACAAATTAACAAATGGTAGTTGTAGTATGTTTTCAGTTTGGCTATTTTGGTATAAACTTTTCAGTCCAATTCTTAGTTTTAACAATTAACCCTTTAACGCCGTTACGGCGTTCTATGCCGTCCCCATTATAATGGGCTTTAAAGCCGTTGTGACGGCATAGAACGCCAGTAATTGCTTTCACCCCCAGGAGCTCGGCGGTACTCACCTCCATCGCGATCCTCTTCGGGAGGACTGCCTGACAGCCCAGGCAGCCCTCCCCTGCCAAATAAGGCCCCCAGGGGCCATGTGATCGCTCTCACAGTGGCTACTATAAAAGACTGGACATACCCCACTTGCAATACCTTGGGTTGTCTACTTTTGCAAATGGTATGCCATCATGGGGGTAACTCTCATTCCTGGGCTACCACATGGTCTCAAAGGCAACATAACCAACCTGGCGAATTTCAATATGAAAAAAACAGAAAAATGGAATGTGCTATATTTGACTTAACTGTTTGATTTAACTTTCCAAAACACCGTAAAAACTGTTAATGGGGGGTACTGTTGTACTCGTGAGACTTTTTTTCTCCTGAACAAAATGATATATAATAAGTGTGGGTGCACTTAATATGAAAGAGGTGAATTACGGATGAACAGACATATAGTGCAAATAACAGTTTTTGTTTACATTTTGTTTTGATCAGAACGTGTACTATTGACTCCGTCCTGAAGGGGTTAATAAGTCACTGAAAAACCCCATCGCATGATAAAAGCTTGTACACAGTTTTTGTACTGTACCTGTCTTTAACAATTTCATCAGAACATCAGCTATACAAGGCAGATTTTCCTCAGTGGCAAAGAGCGTCAATCCTCGGAGAGCTTGATGGCGAACCTGGTAAGAAAACAAAAACAGACAATCAGCATTTCTTATCTGCATCCACTGATGTCCTTTTGCACAAATTGAAATATATGTTAAAGGGACTCTCCTGAGCCAGGAAAATAAACTGTATTTTGGCCATTTCCATTTATGTTCCTTAAAGACACAGACAGGGTTATTCACTAAAGTGAGAAGATCTAGGAATTAAAAGTAAATTCAAAATGAATTTCAAATCGAAGGCCAAAATAGCCAAAATTAACACAGAATTGACATAAAAGTATTTTCCTGTTGTGTGTGAATATTGCAAGCTGTGTGTCATTTTACCAGAATTGATCACATCTCTGAATACAGGATTTATTTTTAAATATGATTGTGACAATTCTAAAATATATACTTAAATAGTTAGAAAATGAGGGAGACAACTCTTAACCATGATTGGATTACTTACTGAAGTATCTATGTCATTGCACAGGTAAAGTTGAGTACGGAATGCAGCAGCAGACAGATCAGGAAAAAGCTTGTAGAATTTGGGAATCAAGCGGGCTGCTAATTTTCTTTCCATTAATCCTCCATTGATGCCATCCAAGATTGCCAGGTAGGAACATTTGTGCTGAGAAAGGATAAAAACATGTACTTAGAAACAAACAAGACATTTACCCACACAGCCACTCTTGATGCTGACATTGTATCATAACACCTGTTTATGTTATGAGAGCAAAAATGTTGAAATTACAACAGTATGTATAATATACAATAACTGTGTCTAGCAGCATGGATATTCCATGGAACTGTATTTAATGTACATGAGAAAGAGGTAGATCCTTTCTTGTCACTGGGTATATTTTTACCGTTTGTTTATATATGTGAAATTTAATGTCCTTTTCCATTTATTGCCATGTTTAACAAAATAATTAAACAGTATTAAGATCCAGGGGAACACTCACAAAGATAAAATTATAGAAAACCCAAGGTAGGTTGACCATTTTAAAGGAAGGAGACCTTAAAGGGAGTCCTGGCCTCGCCTTAGTCAGGTCCTCCTCCTTGGCGTTAGTCAGAATCCAGTTATTACGATATAGTTCACCCATTGAAGCCATTTCTGTGTCTGTCCTTCAGTCTGTAGAAACAGGATGCAGAGTACACTGGAGCTTGTTGCAAGAGTGAGCTTGTAATTATTGTGAGTGATTACTGGAAGATGACAATTTATATTCTTCCCAGGTGGGCAGTCCCATGAGACAGACATATCCCAAACAATGGGTGGGGCTACTAGACAAAGAGACCATGAGAGAGAAACTCAATTAGCATATGTTAATGTTAGCCTGTTAAAAATTTTGCATTTATTATTGTTTTGTAGAACAATGCACTAATTAACAATCCTGGAATTACCAAACTTTACTCCTCCCATTTCAGTAAATATCATGTTCTCTAGTTGTTTAAGATATTTTCGGGGGAGTCATGGTAATTTTTCAAGATTTGCTATAGATTAAATATATATTAAATGAGAGACAGATTGCCTGTTGAAGTAATTAGGGCGCCATGACAGATATTAATATTACAAGGTCTGATTTCTTGGGATGTATGCCTACATTTTTAATGTAAACATTTAAAATTTTAAGGTGAATGTCACATTGGAAATACATGGTGACATCCTAAAAATCCATATTTAGTTTTGTTGTAGGAATGTAGATACCCTTCTGTAAACCTAAATTGCCAAGATATATTGTAGGGTACATGATTTTACACTGCAATGTCCAGTTCCCTGGTTATCTAATCTATAAATAAATTATTCTGAGGTTAGTTTCCATCCAAATTCAAATTCTGTCAAATTTCAGCTGATACGATGCATTTCTAACCAAAATGTATGAGAATTCTGAATAAACCAAATAGAGAATGATAACCAGTCCGATTCGGTTTGTTTGGAATTCAGAATTAGTTTTTACATTGACTTCTGCTAATAGCCAATGCCAATTAACACCAACTTTAAATCACTAATTTACATTTTGAAAGAGTTGTTTGTGTGTTTTTGTTAAAGGGACACTATAAGAACCTAATTACTTAATTTTCGTAGTTTCTTGGCAACATTTTGGATCATTTTAAATTTTTGTTAACCAAAACCAACAATTTTGAAGTGAAATTCTTTAACATTTTAGAAATCCAAGCTGAATCAATTTGGAAAAATCCAAAATATTTCACATTGGATAAGAGTAAAAATGCACATACTACAATCTGCACTTGTTTAAAAATGGAGACCAAGTGTACATCACAGCAATACATAGAAATAAAACGTAATTGATAACATTTCTGCCATGGATTGCCCATGCCATTGCTGCTTCCTGTTTGTATGTGAATTATTACAAACCGAGTACTACGAGGTACAAATTGTTCACAAGGGTTCATTTGTGAAACTCCATTTTAATTTTTAGAGCACATATGTAAACCGTAAATGTTCCGGGCCATGAGAAGAAACCTACCCAGGAGCCCATTCATATTAAAGAGAGCCCTGCCTATTAATATTCTTATAAGGAATAGGTAATGGTTAAATAAATGAAAATGTTCTAAATAAGTGGAATTATAATCATTTATCTCTCGAGACATTGCAAACAGTGGGAACTACTTACAAAACACAGAGTTTTGAAAATAAAAATAAATGTTTTCCAAATAATCACGACATTCAGATGACATCATGTATGCGTGCGAACGCATGCAGATGCACGCTAGGGGGCGTAGGCCTTGACATATGATGCTATGCCTACCCATTTGAAAAGTTAAAGTGAAAGAAGCCCAAATTATTTATGGGCTGAAAAAACATTATATGCCTTTGCACTAATTACCCTAATTATTTCCCTAGCCTATCACCACACACCTAGGCTTATTTATACCTTTCCCTGACATCACTTCCTTGCCCTGTCATGGTCTTTGTAGTCCAGAGTGCGTTCTGTATCACTAGTATTTCTGGTATCTGACCTGGCTTTGTATTTCGATTATCCTTTATTCTGGTATCCTTGACCCTTGGCTTTGTACACTAGTTTATCCTCCTGTCTCCATCCCTGACCTCGGCCTGTCTCTCACTATTTTCTACCCTTTATAATATATACATACATACACACATTAAGTCTGGCCCATTCTAAGGCCCGGTAATATGTCTATATATGTGTATAGGGTTACTTGCCCCATTGTTTGCGAGTTAGGGAATTAGATCTTGACAAATACTGACTGAACTTATAAATAACTCTGGTTAAAGCAGTGAATAGTTAATGGGGTGGCCATGTTTGCCTTTCTAGTAGTGACAGGACTCTATATTATATAATATAACAGAGACACATTTTAAAGGGAGCTGGTTTTAATATAGAAATGATTTAACAAATATGCATTTGTGAGGTGTTAAAATTAAATATAGAAATTCACAGCTTTTTATCCTGCAACTGGGCACCTCCATTTTAGCTGCCTTTAAATCACTGTTATAAGCTCTGTCCGTTACACCTGGCAGTCAGCATGGAGAAAACATACAGAGAAAAGGAAAAATGGGAAAAAAGTTTACACAAGTTAGAGCAGTTCATTTCATCCTTAAACTTTGAATACTTTGTGCTTCCTTGGAAGGAGTATCGTGCGTTGAGAGACAATTATTGAATCTCCATGAAATTGTTAACGTCACGATTCGACACAAATTGTATAACTTGATGATTCTGTACGCCTCTGAACCTCTCTCATCACCCATGCTTGACTCCTGTTATCTAGTCCATAAATTGCTGACATCTCACAAACACAAGACTGAATCCCCTAAAAAATTCTAACCAAAATAATACACAATTTGTCTTAATATATTTCTTCTATATATTATTTTATAGTTATTTGTATAAAAAAAACACACCAATAACCCATAAAATTCTGCTTAATCAACCTGAAAGTTTATTAGTTATGCAAATAGAATTAGTAAAATCTGAAATGTTAATTAGTGCATTGTTCTATAAAACAATGACAGCTGCAGAATATTAACAGTTTATCATTAACATATGCTAAGTGAGCTTCTCTCTCATTATCTCTGGTGATATCTTTGTCTAACAGCCCCACCCATTGCTTGGGATTAGTTTCTCTCATGGCACTGTCCCCTTTTGGGAGAATATAAATTGTGCTCTACCAATAATGACTCATAACACCTACAAGCTCACTAGTTTAGACTGCACTGTATCCTAGGCATCGTATAGCTGCTGACAGAAGAACAGACACAGCAATGACTTCAATGAGTGAACTGAATCACATTTTTGGATTCTGGCTGATAGCATAGAAGTTCTGACCCAGGTAAGGTCAAGACTTACTTAAGGGTTCCATATAGTCACTTTATTTAACTCACTAGTCAGCCTTCCTTAGGTCTTCTCTAGTTCAGGTTTATGAATGTTTCCCTAGTAAGATTCTCCAATTGTCCCTTTCTATGTCATCCTCCTATAGCCATCTTATCTTTGGTTCTCCCACCTACCTGATTATTATTATTTTCTTAGCTAATATTGCCAAATAATTTAGCTGTATCTAAGTTGGAACTAAACATGAAGCTTTGTTAGATAAACAGGAGAATAAATAAGACACCACAATACAACAATCATAGAGCAAGAGGATATGACTGAGAACCATGAGACGTATTACAACCAGACTTCATCCGGTCGCTCCAAGAAAGCAACCAAAAAAGAGGGGATTAAGTACAGAAGAATTTGAGGAGGAAGAAATAAAAGAACAAAGAAAGAGCAACTAGAGATAGAACCAAATGGAACATCAACCAATTATGATACCCCAAATTTCAGTCCTAAACAAAGGACTGAAATAAGCCCCAACAAGGGAATTGGATACATTTAACTACATGATAGACATCAAAAGATATATTAAAAAACTGAGCCTGAAGAATCATTACAACAAGAACAACGTAATAAGAAGCCGATCCATACACCCTCGGTGTCAGCAAGCACAGTAATTTAAATGTAGATCCAACGTTTTCCCAAACAACCAAATATCATCCAGCATGGAGATATTTGAAGAAATTGTTGCGGAATACGTATATAGGGTGAACAGAGAGTTACTCACCACAACTTAAGTAAAGCGTAAAGAACTTGCACATAATGCAGAGATCACGATCAAACCAGCTGATAATGGGACAGGTATTGTCATCATGTCAACAAACTATTATATGGAAGAGGTAGCAAGTCTATTGGGTGACAGAATGACCTATGAAATACTTGATGAAAATCCAATCAAATCCATACAAACTTTCCTCAAATCTCTCTTGATAGAAGAGAAGAAGATATAATTACCTCAATGGAATGAGACTTTTTTTTAGGTATCACATATCCCAGAAATCCAGTCTTATTTTGTACCACAAATTTCAGGCATCGATTCCCTCACTTCCAATCTACCACAATAAAAACACTAAAAAAGAAAACAAACTTCAAAAAAAAAAAAAAAATGTCCCTTCCAATTTCACAGGCTGCACTCTTCACTACACAATAGCATATCATAGCCTTATAATGTCACGACTGTCTCAGCTGGTGTCTACAGTGGAGCAAAGCACAAAGAGGACAATATTTTGTATGTGTTATCATCTTTGGTGGCTAGGAGGGGGTGAGATGGACCGCATCTGTACCTGATGTCCCAAGAATTGCCAACCTCTTCATGAGACGCTGGTAAAAACATTTTTGGAAGGACAATATTATGATTTACAAAAGGTACATCAATGATGTGCTATTCATCTGGCAAGGGGAGGAACTGTCCCTGAGGGGATTTCTGGTATAGCTCAACTCCAACACCATGTACAGCAGCAAAGAGGTAGAGTTCCTTGATCTAAGCATCTACATAGAAGATACGATCAAAATAAAGACATTTTAAGGATGTAAATGTCAACACTTTTGTCCTGAAAGAAAGTGGTCACTACCAATCATGACTTAATAATGTTCTTTATAAAAAATTCAGGAAACTGAGAAAAAAACTGTACAAAGGCAGTATAAGTACAAGCTAACATTCTTAAGAAAATATTCATGGAGAAAAATGATGAAGAAGAACTTAATAAACAGATCATACAAATAGAAAAGATGGACTTATCTTCTATACTGGAAAAGAA